ATGCTGTCTGGTCATAGATGCGCCCACAAGGGGAAATAACTTCTCTGCATCTACCCTGGCATGTTCCCTCAGAATCTTACATGTTGAAATAAGGTGGCTGTTCTTTTTCTAAATTCCAATGAGTACAGGCCCAATCTACTCAACCTCTCCTCATAAGACAATCCTTCGGTACCTGGGATCAGCTTAGTGAACCTTTGCTGGACTGCCTTCAATTCTAGTATATCTGTCCTTAGATAAAGGGACCAAACCTGTTTCCAGTATTTCACTTATGGTAAGAGACTGAATAGGATGGGAGTTGTGGAGCCTGAGGGGTGACCAGGTTTACAAAATCATGAGGGGTACAGATAGGGTGAATGGCCAAGGTCTTTTTCCTGGCGTAGTGGAGTCTAAAACTAGAGGGCATAGGATCAAGGTGAGGGGAAAGATTTAAAAGAGACTTAAGGGGCAACTTTTTCACACAGAGGGTGGTGCTTGTATAGAATGAGCTGCCAGAGGAGGTGTTCGATGCTGGTACAATTATAATGTTTAGAAGACATCTGGATGGATGCATGAATAGGAAGGGTTTAGAGGGATGTGGGCCAAATGCTGGCAAATGGGACTAGATTATTTTAGGGTATCCGGTCGGCATGGACAAGTTGAGCCAAATGGTCTGTTTTCGTTCTGTACATCTATGACTCTATGACTGTAACTGGTGCTTTAAATGTGTTTAAATGTGACCTTCCTATTTTTAAACTCCACTCCCTTTTGAAATAAAGGCCAACATTCCATTTGCCTTCCCTGTTACATGCTGAGCGTGTTTGGTAGCTTTTTATAATTATACACAAGGACTCCCAAATCCCTCTGTGCTCTATATCTCTGCTTTTAAATAATATTCAAATCCACTGTTTCCTTACAAAGTGCATAACCTCACATTTTCCCACATCATGTTCCAACTGCCAAGATCATTTCTGACTCACTTAAACCATCTAAATCCCTTTGCATATTCTCTGAACTTGCCTTTGCACCTACTTTGCTCAAGGGTTTGTAGAGCCTTGTCTCCTGCATATGTTAGCACCCTGGTGCTGAAGATTAAAATAACTCCCTATGAAAATCTTACATGGGTACTTTGGCTTTCAGTCTATGTTGCTGTTTACTTTTCCTCATACCCTCTTCAAGCTCATATTGTTCATGAGACAACTGTGACTCAGGTGGTAGCACCTTTGTCGCTGAGACACATGGTCCTGGGTTCAGGTTCTACTCCAGGTTTGAGTACATCACAACCAAGCTTTGATGCTCCATTACAATACTGAGGTGTTGCAGGTGCCAGAGATATTGAACAAAATAAAATCACATTTGTTAATGTTGGTGGAAAACAAAAGCTGTAGTTACAAAGACCAGAATTGGATGAGTACAGATATGTTAGAAGGTTTTCGGGCTTTGAGAAGCCTATAAAGACAGGGAAGACAAAAGTCTTGGAGGAACTTGCAAATAAAAATGGTGTAGTGATTGGTTGGCCAAATGACATTGCCTACGTGGATCTCATAAATACAAGTTCCCTAATTCAGACCGTTAACCTGTTCCAATCAGGGAGTCCTGGCTGACAGATATAAACAGGAGTCTCTTGGATTCTCCTCGCTCTAGGAACTGGCTCTGACCAACTGGTACTGTGCACGTGTATGTAAAGGGTGACTTGGTGATGGGATACTGTGGAGTTATTTCAGAAGGGAATTCAAAAATAACTTGGTATTGCTTGACTGGGAGCCATCGGGTCTGAAAGCATTAGGCTGAGAGCTACAGGGGACCTATGTAAGCAGAGTATTGCATGAGCTGTAGCCTCTGGAAGGTAAAAATATAGGACACTGACCAGGTGGGTATTGCTATAACCAATTCCAATGGCAGCAAATTGATGAGAGCCTCAGCAGGCAGTGAGTTGGAGCCACAGTGAAGTCGGGCATCGATGTGGGCTGAAGCTCATGTTGACGTTGCCGAAGACATTAATGTCCGAATCAGCTTCAGGCATTTGTAACGGAGAGGGAGCACAGCGATGCCTAAAGGGTGCACTTTGTAGCAGAGACTGAAAACAATGGCTTTGACTTTCATCTTGTTTAACTGGAGGAAGTCTCTGCTCGAGTACCAGATGTCGGCTGGGCAGCCTGATCGTTTCAATGATGTGGTAGACCTGGGAGAGGAGGTGGTGAGCTCAAGCTGCTTGTTGTCAGTGCACTTATGAAAACTAACATTGCATTTTTTTTGGAACATGTCAGCACGGGGCACCATGTTGATGGGAAATAGGAGGGGTTCGAAGATCAATCGTTGGGGGACACCAGGGTGGGAGCAGGATGAGAAGAGAATTATTCTGCCTGCGTTAGATACATAGGAATAAAATCAGAAGTGGGGCAGTCTCATTCAGCTGGCCAGTAGTGGAGAAACGTTTGAGGAGGATGGTGTGTTCGATTGTGTCGTAAAAACATGGAATATGGGAGCAGGAGTAGGCCATTCAGCCCTTTGAGCCTGCTCATCAGGAATATCCTTCTTGCTTTTACTCTGTCTAGTCCTAATAGAATTCTGTTGGTATGTGAGATCCCCTCATTTTTCTAGGGTGTACCAAGTTCCAGAAGGATAAGTGGGGAAAGGTTACCTCAGTCACAATGATATCAGATGCTATTTGTGACCCAGATATAAACAGATTCGGGAGAGCAGCAGGAATGGGAAGCTAATTGAGAGGATTCCGACGTGGAATTCCAGGAAGGAGTGTCACTGATTTGGGAGGCAATAATTTGCTGAAGGGATTTGGAAAGGAGAAAGAGTTTGGCCGTGAGGAGGTAGTTTGCAAGGAAGTTGGGTTTTTGTGAGGAGAGAGCTGATGATGGCAGCATGGCTTTGTATCTCCAGCTGACATGCCTTCCTCCAATTGCATTTGGTATTTACTCTTTCATCTCTTTTGTAAAACATTTGTGTTTTTTGTGGAATGAAAAATGCAAAAAGTAATGCCAAAACAGAAAACATAATGATAATAATACAAATCCCAGAATCAGTCAAGAGAAATAAGATGATAGGAACAGGAGTAGACCACACATTTCCCTTGGTTTTTTTTGTCTTCCGAAACATATCAATTTGTGCCTTGAAGTTGCTCAATGACCGTGCTTCCACAACCCTCTGGGATACAGAATTCCAAAGAATCAACACCCTCTGAGTGAAGATGTTCTCTGTTGCTTAGGTCCTATTGGTCTACCCCTGATTCTGAGATCATGTGCCCCCTGGTTTTAGACTCACTTACTAGTTATCCTGTCATTTGTACGTGCGTGTGAACATGTGTTTAAGTGTGTATGCATGTTTTTGTATGTTTGTATTTTTGTCTAACTGTGTGTACGTATTCGTGCTTGTGTGTGTGTGTGTGTGTGTAATCCTTGAGTAACTGAAACCTCAAATTCCGAAGGGCTAACACATTCAGAGGGTGTAATGCAATACTACTGTTTGGAAGGAAGCAATGCCTTATAATGTCTGAAACAGAAAGCCGGAGCTGCTCATTGTTGTCCCCAAGGAATCACTTCCATTCTTCCACAATTGATAACTGGAATTAATATCTTTGTTTCTAAGATCCTTTGCTATTCTGCCTTGTCCCTGTCTGCACTTGGCTGCGACATAAATACTTACTCTTTTGTAATTCAAGAAGGACTATGGAGCAGGGGATGCTGCTGTACAAAGCGGAAAGCAGCTTCTCTTTGTAATAAATGCTCTCTCACTTACAGCGCACTCTGACTGTCCAGCATTCTTTGTAAAGTGATTGAATCAGGGGACGGTGGGGATGGGGGAGGGAGCTCAGATGTGCAGGGCAGTGGAGTAATGGTTTATTTCAGCAAAGCCCAGTGATGCTCAGCACGTTCACCAGAGAAAACACGTTGCCTCCCCACTTCACCACTGTCCCCAACAAGAGCCGAACTGAGCCCCTCCAAATATTGTGTTACACTAGGATGGGCTGAGGCAGGAGAGTGTTCTTTGTGATGAATAAATGCATAGCCCCTAGATATAAAGACAGCTGGAGCAAACCTCCAAGGTCAGTGCATTACTCTACCAAATGATACATTTAGAGGTTTGATGTGTCTGCATTAATATTTGGGGTTCTGCCTCATTTCTTAGAATCCCTACAGTGTGGAAGCAGGCTGTTTGGTTCTTGAGTCCACTCCAAACAGCAACCCACACCCTACTCCCAGGGTCACCAGACCCAAAACGTTAACTCTGTTTTTTCCTTCACAGATGCTGCCAGACCTGCTGAGCTTTTCCAGCAACTTTATTTTTGTTCCACACCCTACTCTATCCTGTAACCCTGCAGTTCCCATGGCTAATCCACCTAGTCTGCACATCCCTGGACACTATGGGCAATTTAGCATGGCCAGTCCACCTTAACCTGCACATCTTTGGACTGTGGGAGGAAACCAGAGCACCTGGAGGAAACCCACGCAGACACGGGGAGAATGTGAAAACTCCACACAGACAGTCGCCCGAGGGTGGAATCAAACCCGGGTGCTGTGAGGCAGCAGTGCTAACCACTGAGCCACCATGCTGCCCCCTTTATTATTTCTGTCAACTGGAATTATTTCAATGTATTTCTATACAGGTACATTGTTAAATGACATTCAAACTCTCTGTAATTGCTATATTGGACAGGGTATTGGTTTACTCTTGTTGCAAAATGCCTATGGGTTCATGTATTTAAGTCTCAAACTAAATGTTAGTGCCTTTTACTGGGTGCATGCTGCCTACTCCAAAGGTGCTTATTGATTGACATTAACTGTAATGGTATTTGGGCTCCAGTATGTCATTCCATATTCCTCAATAATTCCCAGTCAGGAGTTGTGGGTGTGGAAGGGAGTGTGGAACAATTTCTGGAGATTTATGCAATGGATTTCACAAGTGCAAATGCTGCAGAATTGTTTCCTTTCAAAGCCGAAATGCAATTTTTTTCTTTGGTTGAAGCTGGACAAGGTTCTATACAGTTACCATTTTATCTTTCTTCCCCTTAGAGCGGTAAGCGTGGAATTGATGGGAGCTCCCCACAGTCTGTTACTAAGGCATTTAAGGTATGTTCCTGAATCCAGAATACACTGCATGTATGTGGGTCAGTGTTGTGTGTGAAAGATACCTTAAAATGTATTTCACATGCTTTTGACATTGTGGAATAGGAGAATGTATGTGACATAAGAATTGTAGTGATAGTACAGGCTTAATAGGCAGTAAAAATTAGGTCATTCATTGGATTTTTTTTTGTATAGAACTAGTGTGCAAGGGTTTGGGACAAAAACAGGAGAATGGCTTTAGCAATGATGTCTGTTTGAAGGGCAAGTACAGTCATGGTGGGTCGAATGGCCTCCCGCTCTGCAGCAGTTCTGTTAAAAAAAGCTATCTCGTGGTGTAACTTTGGCTCAACAGTACTCTCTATGCAGGATGTTGGGGATCTGCATTAGCACGCTTGCCTTCATTGCTCAGACCTTTCAATATAGGAGTTGGGACGTCATGTTGAGATTGTATAGGACGTTGGTGAGGCTTCCTCTGGAGTACTGTGTGCAGTTTTTTGGTTGCCCTGTTATAGGAAGTATATTAAAGTGGAGAGGGTTCAGAAAAAATTTACCACGATGTTGCTGGACTGGAGGGTTTGAACTATAAGGAGAGGCTGGAAAGACTGGGACTTCTTTCAGTAGAACGTAGGAAGTTGAGAGGTGCCAGAGAAATCATTTTACTCGAGGGTTTTTCTTGAGATTTGTTGAGGTTTGCCAATTGACTTCCAGTGGCAGCTTCTTCATCCTGACTAACTTCTTCATTAGATGAGATGCAGTCTTGTAATAATGTTGACATGTGGAGTAATTGGACACATAATCAGAATTAGAAAAACTGATCAACATTCTCAATTATTATTGACAGAAAACCCCCATTAAACTTAAAGTTTTTAAAACTATAGCACGCAGGGAAAGCTTAAATTTCCTAGACACCACAGTATTTAAACTGAAACAAGATAACAGCTGTGAGTTAATAATTTTTTTCAATAACTAACACAGACTTCATAAAATGCAAGTTAATTTGCAGGGAATCTGACCCTGATGTGACAACGTGTTTACCAAAGCTTGCTGGGAGCCAAGAATTCTTTTGTTGGCTGGCTTCCCCTAGGTTCCCTCCCTCTCCTTTTTCGCCGTCATTCCCCCTTCACACCCGTGCCCTTTTCTAGTTGCCCACTGGTTTCCTTTGTTGGCACATTCTCAGTTCTTTCAGCCTTGTTTAGCCGATACACTCCCCAACCAGCCTTGCCCCTCTCTCTCTCTCACACACACACACCACCCACAAACATGTATTCCACACACGTACACTTCACGCATTAACACACGTGCATTCCACACAAACACAATACCACAAAGCCAAACACATGTACTCCTGCACGTGCGTACACAGACACACACGCACACGCTTGTACACGCACACGCTCACACAATCAACACAGTACCCTCACCTCTTGGTCTTGCCCAGTGGAATTAACCCAACATAATTTGTTATTGTTTGTTAAAATTCTGACCAGTACTAGGTGCTTCTGGTTGCATCAAAAGGTGGTCCTGTGCAGTGGTAGAACTAGAGGTTACTGAAGACAAAAATCAGATTCCAGTTCAACATTGCTCATTTTCAACAACTGCCCAAAAAACAGCTCATCTGTGAGTTAGAGATAGTAAGAACTGCCGATGCTGGAGTCAGAGATGAGTGTGGAGCTGGAGGAACACAGCAGGCAGGGCAGCATCACAGCAGCAGGAAAGCCGGTCTGTGTGTGTGTCTGTGTGATGGGCAAGGTTGGTTGGGGAGTGTATCAGCGAAACAAGGCTGAGAGAACTGAGAATTTCTGAAGAAGGGTACCAACCCGAAACATCAACTTTCCTGCTCCTCTGCTGCCTGGCCTGCTGTGTTCCTCCAGCTCCACATTGTGTTATCTCTTCTGTGAGTTACTCTCTCTACATCTGGGAGCTGTTATTAAGTAAAGTGTTTTGTTTTACTGCCTACATGACTTGTATTGTGTTGAGAAATACGAAACATTTGGTTCAAAATTCAAATAATCTGTTTTGAAAGTTGAATTCAATGCCAAAAATGAGGTTTTGTCACTGAACTTAATGTGCTCTTTGAAGCTTACAGAACAGCAGACTCGGAAGGATGTACAATTAACAGGTATTTTCATAATCATGAATAAAGACAAGCCCACTGGTGAAACTATATTTGTCCTCGAGCATGTATTCCCAGAAATTTGAAATTAAAGTAAAACACCATCCCTATTGTATGGCAACAGACTATTAGGCCCATCGAAGACACATGGACCCTCTGAAGAGCATCTCACCCAGACCCACCCCATTCCTGTAACCCTGCATTTCCTGTTGCTAATACACCTAGCCTGCACACCCCTGGACCCTATGGGCAATTTAGCACAGCCAATCCACCTAGTCCACTTATCTTTCAACTGTGGGAGGAAACCCACGCAGACACAGGAAGAATGTGCAAACTCCACACAGACTGTTGTCCAAGGGTGGGATTGAACCCAGGTCCCTGGTGCTGTGAAACAGCAGTGATAACCACTGAGCCAGCATGCCACGCCTTAGGGAGGCTGATATTTCATTACACATATAACTATTGCCCTAATCTTCTTAAGTGGTGAAGGTCATGATATGGATAGTGCTGTTAAAAGAGCCTTGATGTGGTGCATCTTGCAGATGGCACACGCTTCTGCTACTGGGAGACATCAACATTAAGTCTCATGGCATCAGGTTGTATACGAACAAGGAAACATTCTCTGTCACAGCTGGATATGTTCATGACAGTATTGGTTGGACTGATCACCACATAGTCTGTGTGAAGGTGATGTCCTGTCTTCACATTGAGGATACCTTCCATTGCATTGTATGGTGCTACCACCATGCTAAATGGGATTGATCTTGAGCAGGTCTAGTACCCCAAGATCCTTCATTAGATCCTCCAAAATGCATCACCTTGCATTTGTTCGGATTAAACTCTATTTGCCATTTCTCTACCCAAGTCTTCAGCCTATCTATATCCTGCTGTATCCTCTGGTAATCCTCCTCACTGTCGACAGCTCCCCCAGTCTTTGTGTCATCATCAAAATTACTAATCAGACCACCTCCATTGTCCTCCAAATCATTCACGTATAGTACAAACAAGGGGGATCCCAGCACTGATCCCTGTGGAACACTACTGGTCATAGATCACCGGTCAGAAAAAACAGCCTTCCACTGCTACTTTCTATCTTCTTTGATTAAGCCAGTTCTGTTTCCATCTTACCAGCTCACCATGGATCCCATGTGACTTCACCTGCCATGAGGGACATTGTCAAAGGCCTTGCTAAAGTCCATATAGACAACTTCTTTTGGCCTGCCCTCACTAATCGCCTGTCACTGCTTCCAAAAACTCAAGTTTTTGAGACACGACCTTTCCTGCACAAAGCTATGTTGCCTATTGCTCGTAAGTCTGTTCCTATTCCGAAGAATCCTCTCCAGCAATTTTCCTACCACTGACATAAGGCTCACCGGCCTGTCGTTTCCTGGATTATCCCTGCTCTCCTTCTTAAACAAAGGAACTACGTTGGTTATTTGTCAGTCCTTCTGGACCCCTCCTGTGCTAAAGAGGAAAGAGAAAAGAAAGATTTCGTACAAGGCCCCATTTTGTACAATTTCCTCCTCTGCCTCCCTCAGCATTCTGATATAGATCCCATCAGGTCCGGAGACTTGTCTACCTTAATGCTTTTCAAAAGACAGAACATGGTTTTGTGTCCTACAAACTTGATTGAATTTTTTGAGGAAGTTACAAAAAGATTGAGGGCAGAGCAGTTGAAATTGTTACTTGGACTTTAGTAAAGCCTTTGACAAGGTCCTGCATGGTGGACTGTTGAAAAAGGTTAGATCACATGGGATTCAGGGTGAGCTTGCCATTTGGATACAGAATTGGCTTTAAGGTAGGATACAGAGGGTGGTGGTGGAGGGTTGATTTTTGGACTGGAGGCCTGTGACCAGTGGTGTTCCGCAGGGATCTGTGCTGGGTCCACTTTTGTCATTTATGTAAATGATTTGGACAAGAATATAAGAGGCACGGTTAGTAAGTTTGCAGATGACACCAAAACTCGTGGTATGGTAGACAATGAAGAAGGTTATCTAAGATTACAAAGAGGTCTTGATCAATTGGGTCAATGGAGTGATGAGTGCGGATGGAATTGAATTTTGATAAATGCCAGGTATTGCATTTTGGTACTACAAACAAGGGCAGGACTGATAGAATTAATGGTAGGGCCCTGGGTAGTGTTGTAAAACGGAGAGACTGAGGGGTTCAGGTACATAATTCTTTGAAATTTGCATCATAGGTAGACGGTGATTAAGAAGACATTTAGCACACCTGCCTCCAATGCTCAGAACTTTGAGTATAGGAGTTGGGACATCATGTTGAGGGCATTAGTGAAGCCTCTTCTGGAATACTATGTGTCATCCTCATCACCCTGTTATAGGAAGGAAATGATTAAAGTGGAACAGCTCAGAAAAGATTTACCAGGATGTTGCTGGGAATGGAGGGTTTGAGATATAAAAGTAGACTGGAAAGACTGGGAGTTTTTTCACTGGAGCGTAGGATGCCAAGGAGTGACCTTACAGAGGTTTATAAAATCATGAAGGGCATAGATAGGGTGAATGACAAGAGTATTTTTAATAGGGTGGGGGAATTCAAAACTAGCGAGTATATTTTTAAGGTGAGAGGAGAAAGATTTAAAAAGAACAGGAGGGGCATGTTTTTTTTTTTTAAGTGTGTGGTTCGTGGGTGGAAGGAACTGCCAGAGAAAATGGTGGATGCGGGTACAGTTACAATGTTTAAAAGATATTGGGATAAGTTTTTGGAGGAATATGGGCCAAGCCCAGGCAGGTGGGTCTAGTTTAGTTTGGGAACATGGTTGACATGGACAGCTGTATGAGCCTATGACCTATTTTTATATATCGACATGCTCTAGAATATCAACATACCCCTCCTGAGACTCCCCATCCACTATGTCCTTCTCCTTGGTGAG